GGCCAAGAGCAGCTCTGGAAAGCCCTTTGCTGGGAGGAAAAGGCTTCTCCAGAGAGGAACTGCTCCTGGGGAGGCGGTGGGCTCTGGTGCTTGAAGCAAGCAAGTCCTGCTGGGATGCCGGGGTCCATGCAGGCCCTGGCTGCCTCAGCTGAGTGCTGAGGCCTGAAGAAGAGACGGGCCTTGGTCAGGGACTCCCTCCGGGGCCCAGGGACCACCCCAGGAGAAGAGGCTCTCCTAGCCCTGATCTGGAAGCACCAGGCAGTCTTCAGAGGTTTCAGTGGGCCAGGTGGGTGCCTCCCGATGCCACTGCTCTGGTCCCCAGGTTGGGAACTAGGACAGGGGCATCACAGGCCCTCGGAACCTCAGATCCTCCCTACTTCCCTGGGGCAGCTCAGTGGCTGGGGAGACCCTGGGCTGCTGCCCTCCCCAGAGACCTCCCTGCCTCTGCATATGGCCCATTTCCCAAGCCCTCTCCACCCACGCCTGGGGGGCCTCCAGGGGGTCTTTCAGAAGGATCCCCTTCCTTGTGTAGGGAAAGGGTTCGCTTGGTCCTGCTCCCTCCAGCACCCCATGTTTGGGCAGAAGACCCCAGGCACCCCCACCCAGCTGCTGGCCTAATCCCGGCTGTGGGAAGCTGCTGGAGGAGGCGGACATGAGGGAAAGCCACCCACCCTTGGCCTCTGGGCGGCCCGCGCCCCGGATTTGAGAACATGTTAAATCGCAATTCTCTGTGGCTTGGGGAGCTGGGCCAGGCCCAAGGCTGCGTTATCCTCACAGCTGCAGCTGCAGGGAGCCAAGGACTGGCCCGGCCAGACAGGGGCTCCAGGGCCCCTGGAACCCACCCACCCTCTCCCTGTACTGGGGTCCCAGGGCGGAAAGGGCCTCAAGGTGCCACCGCCAGAGAGGCACAACCAAGGAAGGGACCTGGCAGAGGCTCTAGACCAAAGTGGGGATCCAAGGAGTGGGCCAGGGAGGATCCCACTCTCCTTGGGTGTGTCTTCCTTTAGGTTCCAGTTCTGGGGTCAAAAAGGGACCCCCAGCAGCAGGTGAGAGGGAGCAGGCACTCAGGAATCCCCCAGTTATATCCTGGCTGCCAGGTCTGCCCTCTACAGCGGCAGAGGCTGATGCCCGACCCAGGGCACGCACAGTAGGCCTGCAGGAGGGCGGTGTCGACTGGGTCTCTTGCCCCACCTCGAACTCGGTCTCGGATGCTGCTAATGCCCCTGGAGGCAGCAGACAAAGGCTTTCCGCGCACGTACACAGCGGCTGTGCTCCTCTCCGCTTCTGGCTGCCGCGTCTCCTGGAATAGCTGCCTTTTAATTACATGGAAAGGTCACCAGAAAAAAGACAGAAATGAGAAGCCAGAGTCACTGGAAACTTCTTCCCTGAGCTGTAACTCTGCAGCCCAGGAGCTGGCGAGGAAGGGGTGAGGGGCTGGGGTGACGCCCTGGATGGTGGGCGGCCCAGAACCCAGGCTGGTCGCTGTGATACCCTGGGCATGTGGGGCTGGACTCGCAGGGACGGAAGATCACATGGCTATGGGGTGAGGGTCCCAGGTGGCGGACTCCAGGAGAGTGGGCTCAGGGGCTTCTGGAAGGAAGAAGTGGAGCACTTGAGCCCAGAGAGGAAGTGGCCTTCAGAAGGCCATGCCCGGGAGACAGGCTGGCACACCCTAGCGCTGACCCCTGGTGGCAGCTCCCCTCCTCCTCTTGCTCCTTCCTCACCCCACTTCCTCCTCTCTCTCCTCAGTTGCAGGCCCCAGCACCCCACCTTTGCTCAAGCCTTTCCCCATCCAGAAAGCTTTTCCAGCCAAGGCAAATGGCAAATGCCTACAATCCCCATGCTCTTGGAGGCTGAGGCATTCAAGACTACCCTGAGCAATTTGACGACTTAGTGAGGCCCAGACTCGCTAAAATAAATTTAAAAAAAACAAAGACCTAGAGACATGGCTTGGTTCAAATCACTGAAAAGGCCTGCCTTTCCAGGACTCCCAGGGCTGAGCCTCCCGACGCCCCAGGTCTGCCCTGCCTTTCTCAGCTCATGGAACTTCAGCTGCAAGACAGAAAACCCTGGGCCTTGTGATTACTCACACCCCCAAGGCCCAGGACACCTGTAAGCCCCCACACAGAGCTACCTGGGGCCCTGCCTTTGTCTTTTTGAGTCAGGGTCTTGCTGTGCAGTCCAGGCTGGCCTTGAGCTCACTTTGTAGCCCAGGCTGCTCTCAGAATTGCAATGATCCTCCTGCCTCAGCCTCCAGAGTGCTGGGATTGCAGCTGTGAGCCACCACGCCCAGCTGCCTGTAGGGATTTTTAAGTGACTGAAAGATTTCCCTTCAACCCCTGAGCAAGGAGTTAGGAAAGTGGGTTTATAAATCAGAGTAACAAAATGTAAGACTTTGGGTGCAGCCCACCTCCAGGACTAGCTGCTTACTTAAAAATCTGTAATGAAAGCACCAAGCACCCCTCCGTTATGTACTAACAACTCGAGCACCAGACCGTGTGCAGGTACAGGCAGCTGGGGGGCCCAGCGCGCCCCTGCCTGCCCCAGGTCACCCGCCAGAGGGAGGGAATTTTCATTTTCTTCCTTGGGTTCAGAGCCCTCCCACCCACTCTTCCACATATGGATTCCTTTTATGATCAGCAGAAGAAGATAACAATTTTAATAAAAGAAAATACATCGACATTACTAATTACAGTTTTGAATTTCGAACAGCTCCCCACCCCACGCCTTCCCCTCTGCAGGTTTCCGGCCGCCCAGTTCCAGGCAGACAGAGCTGCGCGGGTGGGCGGCCGCGGGAACTCCCTGCCCGATTCACTTAACATTAACGATAAGCATCGCCTCTACCAAGACTTCATAATTACGCTGGTTAAGGGCTGCCGCATCTCCCGCCCGCCCGGTGGAGGAGGCCACCACAGAGCTGGGCAGCCGTGATGGATGGTTCTGTGGGAGCTGGTGCGGCCAGCAGCCGCCCCGCACCCGGGAGCCCGTGTGCCTGTCTGGCTTGGGAGTGGCCGTGTCCCTGCGTCCCTGGGCCAGGACAGGTGGCTTAGCTGGCCTTCCGGACATCACTGTAGCCACCCCCCCATCAGGCCCGACGGTGTCTCAGAGGTGGGGGGCTGTACCCAGCCAGCATGATGGGGTGACCCCCATCCACCCCAGGGTCAGGACCTGCAGAGCCCCCTTCTGACTCCCCATTGTGGCCAGGTCTATCTAATCAGCCCTGGCTTAGCAGACAGGCGCCTAGGCTGATGTACCCCGCCCCCAGCACCCCCACAGCAAGCCCTGCCAAGAAGCCCCTAGGGAAAACAGAGCCAGGGGGCAAGGCTTTCTCTCCCCCTCCCCAAAACCTCTAATTTCCATAGAGCCCAGAGCTCCTCCTGCATCCAGGCTGAGTCACCCCCTGTGAAAGCCCCTCCCACAGGCCAGCATGGAGGCCACAGGGCCATCCCCCAGCACTCCTCCCCCTGGGGACCCCTCCAGGAGGACCCTGAGGGGCTCCCAGACTGTGCCGGGCCTGCCAGCCCCAGAAGCCTGCTGAGATCCCTGCCTCTCCACACTTGGGGGAGAGTGTTAAAGTGCCAATTTGAGCACGCTTAAGAAAAGGGGCTTAACGCAGCCCGTGGACTAAGCCCAGCCCCGGTACCGTCCACGCAGGCCCCTGCTGGCCCACCCCCTCCACTCCACGCAGAGGTGCAGACAGGCAGTGTTCTGCAAGGAAGAGGGAAACAGGAAGGGAGGGGAGGAGGGAGGGAGGGCAGGAAGGCTGGAGATGGTTTGTTCTGGCTCACAAGAACCACTGTGAAGTTTTCAGGGCATTCCACACACTGGGCCTTGCACACTGGGCAGCCTGCCCTGCTCCAGCGGACATTTACACCAGGGAAATTGACCAACGCCATGAATCAAAACCAACTGACTAACTTCCCATCCACAGAATGTCCTGGTGGGCCTAATTACCTCAGACACAACTGAAACTTAGGAACCCACGAACTGGGAAGGACCTTGAGGTCCCGCTTATCAGATTCCTCTTCCTTTTATTCAGACTCCTCATTCAGTCGTTCAGCAAGTAGTATCTGACCAGCTCCCTGCATCGGGCTCTGTGCTGGGCCCAGGGCCTGGGTCTGGAAGCTCACCGTCTGAGGGTGCTGTCACACGAATTCAACAAGAAGCCTGGACCAGGGGGTGGCCAGGACTCTGGGGCCTACCCGTGGCTCTCCCCAGCACTGTGCCCAGCAGTGTCGGGTTGCATGGAGGCCCCTTGGAGCTGCTGGGCCTTCCACAGCCATGGCTAGGGGTCCCAGTCTGTCCTCCCAGAGCCCTGGGTCCAGCTGCCTGCGGTGGTTGGCAGGAGCGAGCAGAGAGCCCGCAGCTCCGGGCAGCAGGCTGTGGGCGAGATAACGCCTCAGCCTCATCCATCTGCGGCTTAATGAGCCGCGTCTGCCTCGCTGGCTCCAGGCTGCTACCTGACAGTTGGCCGGGAGCCTCCGGGAGCCCATTAACCTTTCCAGATCTTCTGGGAGCAGGCACAGGGACCGAAGGAGGGGCAATCTGGGCCTGCTGGCTGTGCAGCAGGCCGGGGCCCTAGGCTGTCATGTGCCCCGGGGCCCTGGCTGCTGTGGCCTCACCAGGAGAGGGGTCAGGGGGAGGACGGGGACAGCAAGAGGCTCTGGTAGGCTCAGAATGACTGCAAGGCCCCAACCTGCTGTCGCTAATTTCTTTACAAGTGCCCAGCGAGAGGACACTACAGCTGTGGGAATCCTGGGGAAGCTCAGGTGGGAGCAGTCAGCTCCGGGATGCTCCATGCCATCCCTTTGGGTTCCAGGGAAAAGGGTCAGGTTTATTAGGGAGGCTGAGGGAAGTCCCATGGGTGGGCAGGGAACAAGGCAAAAGAAGGAGCTGATGCAGCTCAGGCTGTCCTGGACCAGGTCCTGCAAATGTGGAGTGGACAGATCTGGACATCTGCCCCACCTGCCCCAGGACCTTTGCACATGCTTTTCTACTACCTGTAGGTCTTTGCCAATCCTCGGTGCCAGTGTAGCTGCTCTCCTCTGTGACTGGGCTTGCTTGGATGTTACCTCCTCAGAGAGGCTGCTGTCTTCCCCTCTGTCGCCTTCTCTGGAGCATCTTCTAGATGGCCCTGTTCACACAGGGCTCCACCTGTCCTAAAAAAGCAGCTATGAGGGAGTCAAGTCTTTGCATTCTGGGTCAGCGGGGCACACAGAGTCTGACCAGCTCTGTACCCAGTAAGGCCTCCGTAAATGCAGCACCTGCTAAATGGCTTGCTGAGGTGCTGCAGGATTTGAAGCAATGGAAATAAAAGTCATAGCTCTCTTCCCAAGACAAATTAATTCTACCTCCAGGCATTTGTCCCCAAGCTCCAGCATCTGGGTGTCAAATCATAGCCCTGTCTCCGGAGCTGTCTCCACGCTGTGTTTCAAGGCAGATTCCCATGTAAAATATTGCCGTCCCTGAGCCCCGGCACCCACAGTAACCTCGCCCAGCACAGTACAAATGGGATCTGTGTCGCCTGCCCTGCTTTTAAATGAGAAAGTTGGAAAAACAAAAGGCCGAGGTGGCAAGCTGCTCTGATTACCAGGAGCTGAAAGCGATTGCCTCGCAGAAGCGGGCCTGCGCGCCTGAGCCACCCTCTCCTCGCACCGACTTTGAATATCAAGTAAAGTTTTATTTATGGTTCCTCTCGTGGGCTTGTAGGCCACTCTTCAGCCAGGTAGGGATGATAACAAACCCTCTCCACGAAAGTGCAGTTGTCAAAAAATAATGAAGGGAAAATTTCTCCCAAAGCACAGGCTCCTGGGAGGCGAGGTCCTTCTGGCAGAGGCTCCTGCGGGCCAAGCACAGTGCAGGCAGGGAGCGGAGAGTTGCCTTTCTCTCTAGCCAGGATCCTTGGGCTCTAGGCAGAGCCGGTGACTGCCACGGGGCCATGTGCTGAGTGTCCAGGCTCTCCTCACAGGCACGGGGCACCCCCGACCCCATCCAGTCCTCCTCTTCCCTGGAGATGGTTCCGTCTTCTGGCACCAGCCAGCAACGCTACACAGGCATCGGAGGGACTTCATTTAGTAAGTGGTATGGGGCACCTGTGTCTGAATTCGGGGCACCAGGATCCAAGCAATAAATATTTATTGATGGGCTGTGGCACGCAGGCCAGGAGAACCCAACAGGGGTGACGCAGACATGGCGTGGGACAGGTGGTGGAGGAGATGGACAATTTTTAGCCTGGTTTAACATGATACAATGTATGCATGTGTCCAAGTGTTCCATGGTACACTGTTAATATGCATCATTGTTACGTTTTTATGTATCAGTTTAAAATTAATTTAAACAAAGGTAGACACAGCATTCTACAAAACAATGTCTTGAGCACGGAACAGTGTTGCAGGCAGCAGGAACAGCATGTGCAAAGGTCCTGGGCTGGAAGGACTACTTCCTGCCCACTGTCCAGATGGGTTCAACACTATTTTCACAAGCGTGGGAGGTGCGTGTGCAGGAAGTTCGCATGTTGACACAGTCAACTGTGCCACACTCTGGGCTAGGTAGAAGGTTGCTGCAGACAACGGTTCCCAGCCCTCATGAATCTGAGTTCTTTGTGGCCTTGAAGGTTCTGAACCGCCTTCTAAATAGAACCTTGATTGTCCACAGCTTCTAGGCTGCAGAACCAGCCTCCTCCTCACCCCGTGCGTCCCTGCCTCTGTCTGGACTGCTGTTTTCCCCTTTATCTGCAGGTTGAACTCTTCTCCACCCTTCAGAAGGCAGCTCCACAGACGCCTTCTCTGGGGACCTTCTGCCCAAGGCTGGTTCCTAAAGTGACAGCATGTGGCAGGGAGAGCAGCCCAAGGCTGCTGGCTGCCTGACTCAGTGCCCAGGCACACCGCACTGGAAGGCAGGGCTTGGGGTTTCCAGGAATTCTGGCCCCCGTGAGTTGTAGCCAGGAGGCTGCCCGCCCCCCTGATATCTGTGGCTGGACTGGACTGTCCTCCCTGCGGCTCCGGAAGCAGAGGCCTGGGCCAGGCCTGCCCTGGGCTGTGTGTCTGAGGCAGTAAGACGACTCTGAGGGCCTGGAGGCCATGTGGCTCCTTCTTCTGTCCCCCTCACCTCTCTCTCCTCAGCATGCTTCTCTGAGCTACCGCTGGGCACTCCTAGTGCCCACCAGGCTGGGTGCCCAACTGCCTGGCCCTGGCCCATGGGTTGAGTGGCATCTCAGGAGTGGAACCCACTGGCTGGGTGGTCGTGGCAGGCCATGGGCCATGAGGGGATCTGGCTGTGGCTTCTGGGGGTCCCATGGGCCAAGGGTCCCTTCCCTGAGAGCCCGGCTGCCTGGCATGGCCACTGAGTCTCCACAGAACAAGAACTGAGGAATGGGAGGAACTAATCCCCGTGACTGCCCTGCCAGTGGACACTTGATCTGCTGGAGGGGAGTGCAGGGACACTTCCTGCTCACCACCTGCACCCGTGGCTAATGGATGCAGCTCGGAGGCCTTGAGAATCCGGTCCTTGGGGCCGGCCACCTCCTGGAACATGAGTGGTGCCCACTGTGGGCTGGCACCCAGGCATGCCTTCCTAACCACCAAGTGATATCCGGGTCTGGCCTGGGCTCTCTGCTGCCCGGGGGTCTCCTGCCCCCATGTGTCTGCCCTCTGCCACTCGAGCCTTGGCCTTCTTCCAAACTTTAGCATAAAGCTTCAAATGTGAGCTCACACTCAGGCCCCAAATGCACCAAACACATCTGTGTCCCAGGGCTGTGAGCCTGGGGTGAGTCACCAAATATCTCTGAGCCACCCTCATTTCACCTGTCCCAGAGACGGGACATCTTCCACTGGTGAAGGGAGCCTAACCCAACCCCACCGACCCTTTGTTCCCCACCCCGATCACCTTCGTGCTGTCGAGGAACTGCAGTGTGGCTTCCTAGTGGGGCTGCCAGGGGCTGCCGTCACTACCCCTGCATATCACATCTGTACCAGATGTGTCAATTCCTTTGCTTCACACTCCTGCAAGTCAGACAGATGCCATCTGTCATGACACCCACTTTCCTGGTGGGTAAACTGAGCCTGGCCTCATGAACCAGCTGCCTGACTGGAAGCTGGCCTCCTTGAAGTCAAGATCTGGCAGGGAGGGGGCTGCCCACTCCTCCCACTCCACTTGCAGCTGTCCATGGCCCGCTGGATGCCAGGCATTGTCCTCAACGCCAGGATGCAGAGACAACTGGAGGGCGCATCCTGCCAGGGCACAGATGCTGCGCCTGACACTCGCAGAGAGGGTGGCAGAGGTCGGGGCAGCAGCGGGCGCCTAGTCTATTCAGACCGCACGGCTGTGAGGCGGAGAGGGCATTGCTCTGGGGAGGACCAGGACGAGAGGAGCCACAGAAAGGCAGAGAGCCTTTGTTTCCCGAGCCCCTCGCAGGCAGCAGGCGCTGCTCAAAGCCCAGAGGACCACGAGCAGCTCCCCTCCCATCCTTGGCTCATCTGTGTCTGTCGAAACCCTGTAACCTCGTGACTGTGCCGGCCCGCAGCTGTTTATGCGCTCATTGGAATCGCACTGACAATATATTTGTTTAATTTCCAGCAAGAGGGGAAAGATTTGTCAGGGTCAGGGATACGTCTTGCATAAAACATTTTGATTAAACTCTGTTGGCCAGAGAATGACTTTCCTCATTGTACTTAGAGAAATCAGTTGTTCCCTAATTGCAGCAGGGGCCTCGCTGGTGCGTTCCCCGTTCACTGTGCATTCTGGGCCAGATGTTGCTGGATGTGAATTCCTTTCCAGAAGAGGCCCGAGGTGTCTTGGGAGAGGTGTGAACTCGTGCAGGCCCCGGTGGGCCGCCACGGGCTCAGCTGGAGGGAAGCCAGCGTCCTACAGGGAGGCCGGGCGGAGGACCCCCTTGTCAGCAGTGGCCAGAGAGAGTTATTAAGAAATGGGGCTGGCAGGGCGGCTTGGCTCCCTCATAGGTGCAGGGCCCTGCTGGAGAAGCAGGGCGTCTGTGCGAGCTGCAGGGACCGCGGCCATCTCGGCCTTGCCGGAGGGGCCTCCGAGGGGCCTGGGGGCAGCTGGCTGGCTGGAGGCCTCGGCAGCCTTGACCAGAACTCAGAAATCTGGGCATGCGCTGTAAGGAGCTGCGTGCCTCCCTCCGGGGAGGGAGTTGGCTGGACGTCCTCTGCCTGTGTCCTTGGTGGAACTGGGAGTGGGGGAAAGGACAGGGATGGGGAGCCACAAGAAGGAGGACAGGAGCAGCCCCTCGCCCCACACCCACTGAGGCCAGCCCTTTGCACAGGCCTCTCCCCTCAGTAGGGGAGTCCACGCTGACAGCTCCCATGTGTGCAAACCCAGGCTTCAGACGTGGCTTATGTGGAGCACGTGGAACCCGGCCCACTGTGGACAGCAGAGACGGCAGGCAAGCCCAACAGATGACCTTGGTGTGCCCCTACCGGCCACCTGCAAAGATCCCCTCCCATGCCTAGGTGTGGCTGCCTGCCAGTCCACACTCAGGGCTCTCATCCCTGTTTGTGGTAGACATTACAACCAACCACAGCTCCCTTCCTTACAGAACCCAGACATGGCCTCAGAGTCCTCCCAGCCTGAGGCCCCCCTTCCCCACACAGCACTGACAGCCAGGGCGCCGGATCAGAGGAGCCAGTGTGCCACCGGGAGCGCGGTTTGGGTTTGAAGTTTCCAGATTCTGGAGCTGAGCAGTCCAGCACCAGAACGACAGCCACATGTGACCACCCAGGGCGACACATACCTGGTTGTAGAAAGGGGGCTGGATTTCAAAAGCATAACACTACCAAGAATGCAAATTCTCATTTATATATTTTATGTGTCCACGTCACAGTGGTAAGATCTTGGACAGATCAAGTTAAATAAAACCCAAAATGAATGTGCTTTTCAAACGTGGCTTGTGTTGTATTTTGGTTGGACAGGGCTGGCTAGGGTCGCAGGAGCTGTGAACAGTGCCCCTGGTGGCTGGGACGGGTAATTCACCCCACTAAGGGGCTGGCCCTGAAGCTGCGGCCCAGAGCAAATTCCAGGGAGGGCACCACACCTCCCATCTGGGAGGTGGGCACTCTGAAGGTTCCTATCCCATGAGATTAACTGAGAGTCCACGTGCAAATACATTCAAAGGGTGTGACACAGTGCCTGGCCCTGGAAGGAG